CCACAACTGGGCGCCGGGACCCGCGCCCGAAGCAGGGGGGGACCGCTGCACTCTGGTCACCTAACCTCCCATTCTTCCTCCCAGAGGCTATTCCCCGCCAGTCAGGGTCATCCAACTTAAGATTCTCGCTGTCCTCTTCAGCTTCCAGTGCCTAGGTGCAGTGGTAGTGGGAAACACAGCCTCCGCCCACTCACCCAGCAGCCGGGGTGAAAAATCAATCTTCCCCCCCCTTTTCTGAGGTTTTATGGTATTGCCCTAATCCTCAGTTTGGGGGAGGGGGAGGAGAGAACAGTGCTAAACCAGGGAATGAGGGAAGATGATAGCCAATTGAATGAACTATCCACTCAGGGGCGGGGTCAAACAGATTCCTGCCCGCCCCGCCCCCTCACTCCAAACTACATTTCCCATTGTGCCTCTCTCACTTCTCGTCGCGCTGCACGCCGGGAGTGCAGGACTTGGAGGCCGCAAGATATATAGGAATTCGTAGTCTTTAATCTAGCTAAAAGGTCCAGAAAATTATAAGCTATTATAATTCTCTCTATGTCCCTAGACAAATGTTTCCAAGTCCTCAGTTATGTTGTACTTATTCTAATGTAATTAATTTGTTTAAAATTTCATAAATGATTTCTTAACAAAGAAAGTATATGTGTATCGCAGCAATCTGTCAGGACCTGGGAGCCGCTTCTTCTTCCGCCGGGGCCTGTTCGCCGAAGTTCTGTTGCCGTCATGTCGGCTGCTATTGCCTCTCTGGCTGCTTCCTATGGTTCGGGTTCAGGATCCGAATCGGACTCGGACAGTGAGGGTGGACGGTGTCAGCTGCCAGCTGCCGACTCCCTCATGCACTTGACTAAATCAGCTTCTGACAAGCCTTCTCTGGTAGTGGCGGTGGACTCGGCTCCAGAGGTGGCAGTTAAGGTAAGCGCTTTTGCCTTTTTGCGGTGCGGGAATTGGCTTCTGCTCCAAAATCTGGCAGCGCTTGTATGGCCCCAGGTTACTTCTTCCTCAGTGCTGGGAGGTAAGTTACTAACTCTCTTGGATCTTTTCTTCCCACATGCATTTTCCTTGGGAGAAGTCGGGGGTTGGAAGTTCAGGACAGCCCTCCACTGCTCCCCGCTCTTGACTCCGGCCATCAGAAATCAAGTGGGAAGGAGTGAAATCTGAATTTATGGATTAGGATGTGGCCTGAATAGAGCAAATGTAATCTTAGAACATAGGAAAAGCTAACTCAGGACTTCTCAAACTAGTTTTCGCCGTCAGTCGAAGGGCTGACTTTGTTTTGTTCTCAAGTCAGAACTAGATTCTGATCCCAGCTCTACCACTTGTGTGGCCAAGTTATATAACCTCCTGTTTCCTGGAGATAATTTTTAAAGCACCTATCTATATGAGAGGGTTATTGTGAGGATTTAGTGAAATGATGTAAATAAAGCTTATAACACAGCCTGGTATATAGTAAAAGTGCAATAAATGTTAATTAGCTCTTTTGATTATGTATGTCCTTAAAATGAGAAAAGGCCTTGGATTTAAGAAACAGTATGCATGATCCCAAATGAGAAAGGTGATAGAGGGAGAAATTGGGTTGTATAGTTCATTAAACAAACATTTCTTGAATACATGTCATTTACCAGGAAATCTTTCTAAAGGCTGAAGATACAGAGGCCAACAAGTCTTTGCCATCATGATGCATACATTCTAGTGGAATAAGCAGCAAATAAAATGTGGGCAAATAAAGTGGTCACAGATTAGTTTGAGTACTGTGAGGGGAAAAAAAATAGGATATTACAGTAGAGAATAAGGTAGGAGTATGACTTCAGTAGGTTGGTCAGGAACATCCTCTGAAAAAATCAGCTTTGAACAAGAAGTCAGCCATGTGCAAGCTAAAGCAAGCGTTTCCAAGCAAAGGAGACAGCAGGCCTTGAGATGGTAAAGAGTTTAGTGTGTTTGAAGAACTGAGGGAAGATTAGTGTGTCTAAAGCCCAAGGAGAGCATCCACCAGTTAATAGTATAGGCCCAGTAGAGCCTAATAGGGGTGATCAGAAGCTCAAGATGTGGTGAATGGAGGCAGTGTGCAGAAATTTCTTTGTTTTTAAGATGTTCTCAAGTCTAATGTTAATAACTTACATCTTTTACAGGTGTTTAGTGAGTTATTTATGAACTTTACTTTTTACTAATGGACAGCCGGTATGAAAGACTGCTTAAAACTCCCCAACCTTACAGCCCTTCAGCAACCTCCTGAGTCTTCATTTCATTCCTTTCACAGCTCAGCTTTTGGGAGCTCTCTCACTTCATTGCATTTTCTCCTCAATGCAAAGCAGCCTAGTTTTCTTGGGAAAACTCTTGGAGTTGTAAGACGTCATAAAGCATATAAAGCATTTCGCACAGTGCCAGGCGCACTATCTTTATTATTTCCAACTGTAAACTTGCTAGCTCTAGAACTATTAAACTTTTCTCTCAGGATGGTTCTGAGGCACCTCCAGTCCAGTGTGCAGAAAAATTAATGCATTTTTTCCCCTCAAAATCCATTTCACCTTTTTTTCTCATTTTGATTAATGATCCTATCCATTAATCCAAGCCAAGAATAGAGGTGTCTTCTCTTTCTATTCCTTCTTCCTCAGCACCTGAACGTAGTCATTCAGATGGTTTTAACATTTCTGCTTCATTAATTTCTCTCAAATCAATTTCTTCCACTCTGTTTTCACTGACACAGCCTTACTTCATATCTTCCCTCCTTCTACCCGGTGTCATTCTTGACTTGACTTTTTCTCTTAACCCCTACTTTTGGGTAGTGGGTCCTGCCCATTGTGATGCAGTAATGTTTATCAAATCTCTCCTTCCTCTTCTACTGTTACCATGTAGTTCAGATTCTTATCATTTCTCTTCTAACAATGATAATAACCTTCTAACTAGTCTTCCTACCTCCTCTTTTTGTATCTCCCAGTTTCATACCCCATTCTTTCTTCACAATGCACCCAGAGTGATCTTTCTAAAATTCAGTGGTAATCATCACTTCCCTGCCAAAAGACACTGTGTTGCCTACTGGGTAATTACAAAGTTCCTTCTGTAACATATGAGGCCTGTTATTCTCCCGTGCTGAACTCTCTACAGAGGCTCAAAAGACTTCTCTTCTTTTTTCATCTCAAAATTTTTCCCATACTAGTCTCTACCTAGAAATCCCTTGCCTCCTGCCTTCCCTCTCCCCTCCCCCCAACCAAACTATACTGTCCTTCAGTCTCCTGCACATGTTTCCTCTTCTCTCTACCTTAGCACCTTTTCGTACTTCAGCTCTAGCACTTGCCACATTCCTATAATTTGTTAACCTTTTTCTTTCCCCTGGACTATTGTGAGACCCTGGGGACCAGAGATAGTTGCATTGTTAGCTTTCATGTCGCCAATGCCTAGTATACAAGATTAAGGGAAATATATTTAGTGAGAAAAAGAATGAAAGAATAAGTGAAAAAGAAGTCTTTTGAAAAGCATGTACATTGAGAATCAATGTATATTGATGGAGTGGAGGTGAGGGGGATGACTCTAGAACTTAGTTCAATGACGTCAAGAAAATCCAGAAAGGTTACTTAAGGTACCAGAGGTCCATTGGAAGCAGAGCTGGGCTAGACCCTTCCGCCTCCCGCCCCAGCAATCTATGTTCTATGATGATAGAGTAAGGGACATTGATCATCACTAGTCTGTGAACCAGCACTTGCTTATATGAAAAAAAAAACAAAAAACAACAACAAACCCACTAAAAACCTTGCACATAGTTAATGAAACAATATCAAAAATGACCAAGGGAGGAGATGTGAAACATATAAATATATTCGTTTGTATTTGACTAATTGTATTGTGACTAATAGCAAGCATTTTGGCAGAGTATAAACTTTTGCAATGTTTTTAATCCATTTCCCTGAATACAAGGGTCATTCACAAAGAGGGATATGTTTTAAATTTGTATGCACCCAGTAATCTAAGCTCAAAATATTTAAGCAAAAGTTGATAAAATTACAAGAAGTTGACAAGTCTACAATCACAGAAGATTTTAATATATACTTTTCTCAATAATTAATAGAAAAAGCAAAAACATCAATAATGATACAGAAAATCTAAACAACAAAACAATTTAAAGGGGGTAAAAAACATAGCACTCAATGCAGAGTATCGTTTTCAAACACTAATAAAACAATTTGTTTTTCTGACCATAGGTCAGGGATTGGCAAATTTTGGTACAGGTCAGATAGTAAATATTTTAGACTTTGCTGGCCTCATACAGTCTATCACATCTTCCTTTTCTCCTTCCTTCCTCAGCCCTTTCAAATGTAGATACCATTCTTAGCTTGTTGGTACAAAAAACAGACTGTGGGCTCCTGAACTAGGCCATAAAATGAGTCACAATAAATTTTAAATCGTATTACCATGTTGTCTGACCACAATGCATCTAAGCTGAATCAGCCTCAAAAAGATAACTATAAAATTCTGGTATTTTAAAATTATGAAATTGTACTTTTTAGTAACCCATGGGCCAAAAAAAAAAAAAGAAAATATTATGAATAAGGAAAAATAACATTCATCGGAACTTGTAAGGTACAGCCATAGCAATATTTAAGTATAGTCTTAAATGTAGTAGAAAAGAAGGCAGAAAGTTAGTATGCTAAGCATCCATTCTTTTGGATTGATTACTTTTTTTTTTATCATTTCGTTCTTGTATTCATTTCTAAATTATGCCTTCAGTGGTTACTCCTGGAAATTAAAACATGTTTAAATTAATCAACATCTTTGCCTCTTACTGAATAGTTCACGAACACTTCACTTTTATTCACATCTTCCCACCCCTACTTTAGCTGTTATTGTCCTATATTTTTTATATGTATTTAAGCTTCAAAAGATGACAGCGAATGATGCTGATTTTTGCATCTCACATGCAAGAGGTTTTCTGTAGCACATATGTTAGGATGTTGTTTAGTGAGGGTTAACTGGTGGCAACTGCTTTCAGTTTTAGTTTATCTTTAAAATGTTTTTATTTAACACTC